CCTGCTTTGGTTCGCCTGTTTTTACTGCGCGGCAGTAAAACGGCCATGCCCGGGTGAACCGGCCTGATGCCCCGTGTTCTGTCGCAGGGAGAACGTGCTGAAGAACCTGGATGACAAGGCTTTTGACAAGCCCATCTGCGAGGCCCTCTTAAACCAGAAGTTTTTCAATGGAATTGGGAATTACCTCCGCGCGGAGATCCTGTACAGGTAAGGTGGGTTGAGCACCCGCTGACCTGCCATGGAGGTTTGGTCTCCAAGAGTTTGCCAGAGCTTGACGGCTCCTCGGCTAAGCCGGCTGGGCCTCCTCACCTGGTAGACACGGGCAAGTGCCAGAACCGGGAGTTCAGGCTCGCGTGTAACGGATGGACTCTCTCAGGTTGAAGATCCCTCCCTTCGAAAAGGCTCGGACCGTGCTGGAGGCCTTGAAGGATCAGGAGCAGGCGAGGAGGAAGAAGGTGGGGAATACCTGGTGCTCTCGCAGGCTCAGAAAGGGGCAGGTTTCCAGACAGACGCCACACCAGGGATTTGTTTGCCTGTGGCCCTGCAGGATGTCTCGGCAGCTCCCTGGGGTCCCGGGAGCCTCTTGCCTTCCGTGCAGGGAGCCGGACTGAGCTGAGAGGCGTTCCTGATTCGGGTTTGGGCTCAGCAGCGGTGGAGGCGGTTCGGTTTGCTTCCAGCCCCCAGTCGGGGCTCAGCTGGCTGCCTTGCTCTGGCTCTGCTTTGGGCTTAGCTGGGCACGAAGCTCTGGTTCAGGTCTGCTGTTTCGGGCTTGTTCCAGCTCAGGGTTCGGGACCAGTTTCAGTTCGTGTTTGGTTCCTCGCTCTGATGGGGCAGAACATTGTCACGAGGCCCTTGCAGAGCTCGCGCAGCCTCTGTCCACACCGCTGTCGGGAGGTATTTGCTGCTCCGAGTCTTTCCCAACCCGACGGCAGGCATTTTTCCCTCACAACTATAACGCTTGCTGCGTGGGATCTTTCTCCTCAAGCACGTTACTGTCCTTTGCCATAAACACCCGTGTCTGAGCACGTCTGCCCCTCCAACGGAGCGGCAAATGGGGCGCAGCACTTCTGTAACCTCACGTGTGCAGCGTTCGTTCACACGTGGCAGGGCTGACGAGCTGTGACAGCTCTCCCAGCACATGCCTGCGTGCTATAACGCTTGCTGCGTGGGATCTTTCTCCTCAAGCACGTTACTGTCCTTTGCCATAAACACCCGTGTCTGAGCACGTCTGCCCCTCCAACGGAGCGGCAAATGGGGCGCAGCACTTCTGTAACCTCACGTGTGCAGCGTTCGTTCACACGTGGCAGGGCTGACGAGCTGTGACAGCTCTCCCAGCACATGCCTGCGTGCTGCACTGGTGCCCGCGAGCACCCGGCTTCTGCCGTCAGGAAGTCTCCGGGTATATTTGGGGCGGGTGAAGAGGAAGGGGCGAGGGAAACAAACACCTTGCAAGCTTAAAATCTCTGGGGAAGGCTGCAGCAGAGCCCACCGGACGATCTCGCGGCCTCGGGGGAGAGGAGGTGGCTATTTTAAAGGCGGCTGAAAATAAAACATGTGACTTGAGGGCTGTTTTTACAAAGTGCTGACGTTCCCGTGTGCTAGCCCTCTTTCATGTCATCGTAGCTGGGGGGAACATGCTAATGTGCAGTTGGAAGCCTACAAGGGGGTGAGCTCAGGGCTGGCAGGTGGTGGGGAGCGTGGCAGCTCATCCTCAGGAAGGCGAGAGGAGATGGGGAATTTGGCTGGTGTTGGGAAGGAGAGACCCCCGGCGAGGCTGGGGTGGCTGGCAGGTGACCTCCCTCCCCTTCTCCACCCCTGCAGAATCCTTCCCTGACGCTGAGCAAAAAGCTGAAGCTGATGCGGGAGAACCCGGATCTCCTGGAGCTGTGCCACACCGTGCCCATGGAGGTCATCGCGGCGGGTGAGGCGACAGGACGGGGAGCTGGGGAACAGGGACAGCTGGGACTGGCGAGGAGGCCTGGGCTTTGCGTTCCCGGCAGCAGGAGGCTTGGGAGGGCACCCCGACACCATGGTCACTGCTTCCTCTCTACTTCTGTCCTTTCTCTCTCTCCCTTCCCAGAGAAAAACCTCTTTGACCCAGATCACTCGGATAACTACGCCGCTTTCAAGAACTGGCTGCAGTGTTACTTGGTGCCCGGCATGAGCTCCCTGCGCGACCGCAACGGCAGGACCATATGGTTCCAGGTAGGAGTCTGGGGTCGCTGCCTGGGGCTGGGTGCCCCCCGACCACTCCTCCAAGGGGACACCAGCCCATTTTCTGCTTCCCGAGACCCCCCGGCATTACACTGTGTCGCTGCGGGTCTCCCTCTCCAACAGACTGCTGTGACCGCTGGACATGGAGGTGACAAGGACCCTCTGTGCGGTGGCCAGCTGGCCGAGGGATGGCAGGCAGTCTGGAGTAGAGGGGCTGATTGCGGGAACGGGGGGCTCGGGTGGTCTGGCAGCCCTGTCCCTCCCTCCTGTGCCCCCTGTCTGGGCGCGGCGCCGTGGTGGGGCCTTGCAGATGGAGCGGGGGCTGATGGGAGAGTCCCCGAGGCACAGGGCAGGCAGAGCAAGCCGGACTCCCGTGTGAAACATGGCTGTTTCCCCATCACTGTCTTGGCTGCGGGGTGGAGAAGGGGCACGGATTCTGCTGCCGCTACCTGCAGAATGACTGCGCCCCAAGTCAATGCTCCGTCGCCTTCCTTGCAGGGAGAGCCTGGCCCCATGGCTCCCAAAGGTGAGTGTCTTCTCTCCTCCCCGCGGGACCTGCTCTTGCTCCGGGAGGCCTGGAGCCTGGGAAGCCCCATGCTTGCTGTGCAGCACGGGGGCAAAGGCAGGGGCAAAGCCCCTCTCCCTGGGGTGCCGATGTGCTTGTGATAGCCGGTGGCACTGGGGGACAGAGCCCGCTGTCCCCAAGGCTTCCTGCCAGCACACCCGCTTGCCTGGGCACAGCCTTTGCGCCCGCAGGCTGCTTTTCCAGGCCAGCACCTACGTCCCCTTCCTCGCCTGCCAGGCTGGGAGCCGGAGGGTGTGCTCTCCCTGGGGCCGAGTCTGAACTGAGCAATGTTTTGGCAGGGGAGGGAATCTGGTGGGGGAGGAGAGGACACCCCCCTCAAGCCAATCCCTCCACCCCGGTGCCAATTCCCCAGTGCTCAGCTCGCACATCACCCGTGACAGCGTCCCTGAAAGGTCACTGGGCTGCAGCCTGTCCCCTGAGGCGCGGGCGCTCTCTGCCCCATCTCCCCCTCACCCTGCCTAACCTGGGCACGTCTTCTCACACAGGGCAGACGTCCCGCAAGAAGCGCGCTCGGCTGAAGGCAGATCCCGAGGCTCTGACCCCCAAGGTAAGAAGCTTTGTGGTTGTGGCTCCTGCTGGGTCTAGAGGCTGACCTGTTCCCCGTGCCTTGCTCAGGCTGCTCCCGAATTCACGGTGGGGCTCCTACGTGCAGTTTCTCATCATCTGGCGGTCCAAGCACACTTCTGCTGCCAAGCTCTGGCTCTGATGTCCACCTAGGTCACCAAGCGCACCTCAAAACGGTGCTCCAGGGCTGCAGCGAAACCCCCGAAGTTGGCCGAGGAGGAGGAGGAGGTGGCTGATGGGCTGAGGAAGGGACGTGCTCGCGGGAAGAGGAAAGCGACCGCTGCTCCAGCCTCGTCTGAGCCCGATGCACCGGTCAAAGCCAAAAGAAGCCGCCGGACGTCTGCGCGCAGGGGCAGAGGTGAGGCTGGCAGTCCCCGCAGCTTTCAAACGCACAGGCGGGGGCTGTGGGAGCGCTCCCTCGTGTCAAGGGGACTGAGGGGGTGCCAAAGGGCAGGAGAGGAGTCAGCGGGGCTTTGCGGGGCAGAACCAGGCACCCCCTCACTCTCTGACTTCTCATCTCCCTCTCCATTTTCCAGGCGCAGCCCCTGCCGTGTGAGTGCTGCACGCTGCCCTCCTCCTGAGGGGCATTTTAACAGCCGCAGGAGGAGCTCAGGGAGGGCCTGGCCAGGGGCCTGGGTTAGTGCTGGGGAGAAATGGGGCTGCTCTGTACCTGTGCTCGTGCCCGCTTGCTACTGCTGCATCTGGCCGGTGTGGGAAGGAGAAGCTGGGCTTGGTGATGGGGCTGATTTACCCAGCGTCCGCCTGCTGTCCCCGGGCATTTGAGGGGGGATAAGGGCCACGGACCACACATTGTGCTGGACCCTGACCCTTCCCTCTGCCTAAAAGTGGATTCCCTCTTCCTTCCCCTCTTCCCTTTCTGGCTGCTGCCTGGATCACTGTTTTTAGCTGACTAATAAAGTATTTTGTGTAGAAATCACCGTGCATGCCTTTTTGTGTGAAGGATAACCCCTCTGTGCCCAGCCTCTTCCCCAGATGGGCTGGAGCAGGTAAAGGCCACGGACCACACATTGTGCTGGACCCTGACCCTTCCCTCTGCCTAAAAGTGGATTCCCTCTTCCTTCCCCTCTTCCCTTTCTGGCTGCTGCCTGGATCACTGTTTTTAGCTGACTAATAAAGTATTTTGTGTAGAAATCACCGTGCATGCCTTTTTGTGTGAAGGATAACCCCTCAGCCTCTAGCCTCTTCCCCAGATGGGCTGGAGCAGGCTTCCCCTCCCCCCCCTCACCAAAAATAAAGGTAAGCTCTGCCTCCCCAGTCCCAGGAGTCAGATCCTGCTGAGGAGGACATTAAGAGAGCAGCAGCTACAACAGAGCCCCTGGGAGGAGGCAGATCAGCGCAGTTATCTGGAAATAAGTTAAGAAAACAGGCTGGAGCTTGTTTTCAGGTAATTTTCTTGTTTACTTGTGTTCCCCTTCTGCAAAGGCAGTGCAAGAGGCAGGAGAAGGGAGAGGGGGATGACTGCAGTGCGTCTTTAAACTTGTTGCCCTTGGGTCTGGACAAGATGAAGGCCAAGACACAGGAGCCACTGCTGCTCCCCAAACCCCCCCGGGTTGGAGCAGATCCCGTGCGGGGCCAGCCAGCCTGTCCCACAACCTTACCCACCCTTCAGCTAGCTAGGAACTCACTCGGGCCCTCCTTCCCTGGTTTAGGCAGGGGGTAACTGTCCTTTCCTGAAGAACACGGTTGTTCTCGAGCGCTGCTCTCCGATGGCTGGGTGGGGGGCGAGGGGGAGACACTGCCCTTCCCTGGAACCACCGCCTCCTTGCACAGCTCTTGGGATGGGGGAAGCCTCAGGCTGCGATTTGAGCTCACGGCGTTGGTCCAGGTTGCCGCAGCATCAGCAAGGGCGACTGACGGCGTCACTGCCTCAAGACCAAGAGGACGGAGAGCACGCGGAAGGGTGTGAAGGAAAGCTTCACGCCCTGCTGCTCCATCGGCAGGCGGCCCCCTGCAGCCGGCTGCTCCAGGAGGTCGCAGCTGGGGAAGAAAGCAGCGGGTGAGGCTGAAGCCACTGATCTCCATCCCCGCAGGCGCCCAGCCCTCCAGCGTGGACTTACAGCATCGCTTCCTTAACGGGGAGGGAGGTCTGGAGCCAGGTGACAACGGTGCTGCCATGTGCCTCGTACAGCCGAACCACCACGGCTTCAGGTCTGTCCTCAGCCTTTGGGGGACAGCGCAGGCGGGAATTCAGACGAATGAGACAGGCGCATCCTATCCTACACCTCGGGGTACAGCCCGACCCAAGTGATCGCGGCTGAGCGGCTCTGCCTGTGGGCACGCGCGTTCCTGACCTGCTGCGCTGCGGCGCTAACGACTGTGGCTGCAGTACCCACATGCAGACGCAGATACTACCACGATCCCTGGTGCGAGTGCCTGCCCGGGCTGACAGAGAGGGGTGCTAACCCCCCTTGCCCTCACCTAGCAGGACATGCAAACCAGAGGGATCGCTGTTTCTGCTCAGCTGAGCCTGCCGGTCACCCAACGTGGGGGAAAGAGCAAGCCATGCTTAACAACAGCAGCTTAACCCAACTGCCCTCCCCACTTCTGCCCTGGGGACTTGCCTGCTTGACAGTCTCCAGCACGACCGCAGGTGAGCTGACAGAAAAGGCACTCCAGGCCGGGCACTGGGCAGAGCTTGCCGGCACCGTGTGGAGGGGGAAATTCAAGTTGTAGGCGTGCTGGATCACACTGGCGTCCTGGAAGGAACCTGCCACACAAGAACCTCTGGCCAGCCTCTACGCATGCACAGCCAGAGACATGCTCACCCCAAGGCTCACTGGAGCATCCTCCACCCTGCGTGTCACCACAGGGCCCAGCTCTGCCCGTCACTCACCCAGGTGAGGCATCACAGCGTAGGTGAACATGTGGCACGCGATGTCCGCCGTGGCATCGGGGGACTTGGGTGCTCTCAGCCTAAGGCAACAAGAGGTAGGTGAGAGTGGTGTCTCGGCAGCGCCCTCTGTCACCCAGTGCGGAGCCAGAGGAGCGCTGTGACAACTGCCTCCCCCTGCTACCTCGAGGCTGGGCCCTGAGGTGGAAGCCAACATCCTGCTGGTTTCTGGCAACAGCAAACAGACCCTGGACAGTCCCAGAAGCTAAAAAGTTTGAACGGTGTTTTCCTGTGAAACTTACGGCTGACGGAGTCAAACTGAAATATGTAGAGCTTCTCTTAGCTTTGTGTGCATCCATAACATTGCTGTTCCTTCCCCCTCCTTAAGCCTCCCCTCCTGGGATATGTTTTGGCCAGCAACAGAAAAATTACTTGGTGCAAACGTGGATCTGGTCTCTCCTGAATTATCTGTGAGCATAACTCACAGGAATTACTTTATCTTAGTCAATTTTAATTAGGTCAGCCAAAAGTTCTCGGACGACAGCCAGCCGCTCAGACTAATACCAGACTATTTCCTTATTAACTATGATCATCTAGGACCAGGTGCTGCCTTGACTTCCAAGAGACACCTCAGAAGGCAAAGTGACTGCTGCAGCTCCACCCTCACCCCAACCCTACTCACAGCGAGAGGCTGAGGACGTTCCCATGGGCTGATGCCCCGTATTTGCAGTCGTTCAGCAGTGCCACCCCGAAGCCGTGCTCGGAGAGATCCAGCCACTTGTGAGCCCACACCTGCAGGAGGTACCAAGGGACATATTCACCACACAGAGCTACTGCCTGGGAGCAAAAGCAGCCCCACCATGGGAGGAGCAGCTCGGCCCTGGGACCAGACCACCTTTCCTCTCACCTCGAATCGAGCCCAGTCCCAGGACGTGTTCCAGTGCGTTGGCCGCTGCAGGTGTCCAAACTGGATCTCATAGGTGGCGTTTGTGCTCCGGACCTGCACAGGGAACTCCACCTTCAGGAACTTGTGAGCCTCCTTCCACTCAACCTAAACGCGGTAGCAGAAGGACATCACCACGGGGGGCTGACGGGCAGAGGCTGCGCTTATCCTTCCCTGGTGCACAGCAGCCAGCTCGCACCCAGGCCAGACCAGGTACAATAAAACCGCGCTAGAGTCTGAACACAGATGAACTGGCGGGTGTCTCTTCCACCCTTGTCCCTCAGGGCCCCCACCCTTGGGCTGCCTTCCCCTAAGGCAGAGGGGGGCTCCAGGGAAGGAAACAGGAAGGGGAACGTAATTCAGACGGGAGGTTCAGCTCCCCAGGGCCCTGCCTGCACAGCACACGTTCGTATCGCACGGCAGCCGCTGGCCAAACCTGGGTCAGGAAGCGGAGGTACGGGCACGTGGCATCCAGGATGATCTCCTGGGTTAAGGTGCTGCTTTCCCCGATCTGCAGAGAGAAGCTCGCGCTTCCCCGCAGGCCCCCAGCCAGGGTGATTTCCAGAGGCTTCAGCAGCGTTGTCACTGGCTTCCTAGAGAAAGGGATAAAGGCAGAGCTGGTCTCAGCCTGGCAGATCCAGGTTCCCAAATCCCAGTCCAGCCTCCCACACAGCAGGCACTCACTTCTCCAGAGTGAATGCTCTGTTGCAGCTTTTGTTACAGCTAGGACTGACAGGGAGGCAAGAACCTCAGAGCAAAGTCAAAATCCAAGTGCTGCATGCACTGCTCCTCTACCTGGTTTCCAAGTGATAATCCATCACGTCCCAGGCATCCCAGTACAGGGGAACATCATCAAAGAGTGCAAACTGGTTGGCATAGCAGCCATCTGGGACTGACTCTCTGGAACAAAGTGGAAGAGAGAAACAGCAGCGTAAGAAGAACTGGCAGTGGAGAAGGGCGTACAGTGAGAAGAAGACCTGAGAGAAGTGTGAGGAGCCCGGTTCCAGTAACTGGGTGATAGACATACCTCTCGGAGTCCACCAGCCGAAGCGAGGTCAGGTGCCCCATCATGTCCAGGCAGACTGCAATCACCCCATTCTCCATGGCAATGGAGCCGTCCTCCTTGGGGGAAAGGACAGAAACAGATTTCGCAGACCCACACCTGCGGGAGTTGAGTGCCCCAGTTGCAAATCTAGTGTGGGAACTTGCTGCATGCTGGATTCCCTAGATTTCTCCCCAATCAACCTTTGATGCAGGGTACACCGATCTGAGGACAACTGCCGTTGTGCTTACCTGTTTCCTCACTGCCACAGGCTGAGGGGGCAGCAACGGCTCCCTCACTAGAGCATAGCCCATGCTGGGGACTGTCACCAGGGCTGGAAAGCAAAGAGGTTCTGTTCCAACATCTGCCCCAGAACTAACCCTAAGTCACACTGTGCTGCCCAGCTGCTCTCACGTCAGACCTAGCACCTCCTTTCCTACCCTCCTCTTCTCCATCCATAGTTCAGGGACAACTTTGAAGTGGGATAAAGTCCCAAGGAGTGATTTGACAAGTCAGTAAACCCTCCCCAGGGCAGGGAGAGGCAGAGTATTTCTGTTACTGCCTCTGCCCCGTAAGAAATTCTGATACATCAGTTACCCCCGAGTTAGACATACCTAAAGTCTCTGTTCCGGCTGGCCCAGTCCTGGAGATCACCTCGGTTCGTTCCCAGGGCAAAGTGTTCAACACGAGGGTGCTCTCGGTGCTCCCTGCCTTGGGCTGCAGCAGTTCCCTGCATAAGGACTGCACAGCTTCCTCCTGCAGCCGAGCACCAGCCCTGCGGATCTCTGAGCAACAAAAAGGCCTGAGTTGGATCTGTCCAGGCCGTTTCTCACATCTGAGAGAGTTTCTGGCGCTCCCGTGCAATGTACGCACACTTTAGCTACTTCCAAGCTACAATTACTAATTATCATTAATATTATTATCTATTAGTAAGTAATTAAAGTTTATAATTATTCTTAACTTTGTTATTACAAGATTACAATGAGCTATGCCAGCTCAACTGGAAAATTGTGGTGCTGTAATAAAGTGAAGCCACTGCAAGTGCCTGTGGGCAGGCAGGAACAAACCTTTGCTGGGGTCTATCCTGGCATG